CTTATCAATGTTTTATCAATTGTACGATGTAATGTTATTTCATCACTTAATTAAACACATACCCTCAAGTCTGAAAAATAACATTAGCACCCCATAATAATGGATATATGGATACATTTTACATATATGTTAGGGAGCATTGTCTATTAGCACCACATAGTTGTCTATAAGAATTCCATCACACTTACGTCAGGGTTGAAATTAAGGTTCCACCATGTACTTTGAGTACTAAAGAGTAGATTTAACCTCAGTGAACTATTATAGTTATGAAAACTCAAATTCAAGTATTGAACAAAAAAATTCGAATTTTTGCCCACAACCGTCCAACAACTCGTTAGCAAGGAGCCCTTTACTGTGGGTGCATAGAACCGGACCAAAACTCTCCGTGAATATTCTAAATGTGAGGGATTTAAGTGTTTAAGTAACAAATATTAGGGGTTTGAGTGTAATTTATTTTATTGAAAAAAAGAAAAAAGAAAAAAAGAAAGAGGAATATTTGTCTTCATCCCTTTTCCTTTTCTCCTGTCTGCGTTGCTGGCGCTCTCTGTTTAAACCATAAGCATGGCCACATTTGTCCATTGTCGGATCTCGATTCGCATGATTTTTGAGAAGGAAATGTGCTGAAATGGAGATGGGCAGAAGGCAGTGTAGAATTTGGTGGCCTACCCATCTCTCTTCAACCCAACCACACTCTTCCATGTTCTTGTTTGGTTGGTTCGTCTCCTCCTCTGAAACGTCTCTCGACGTTGTCGTCGCCTTTGCTTGTGATGAGACTTCAATATCTTCGATTCAAGCTAATCTTCAGGTCTAAACTTCAAAACCCATATCAAATTTGTTCGGATTTTATATCTATTATTCCTGCAAATCCGCTGAAAAAAATATATGTGCTGGTTATGTGTTAGTAAGCTTATACGCACATTGATTCACTGTTGTATGTGAACAATGTGAAATGGTTTTGAGTTTATTTGATATATGGATGAGTGGGTAGGTCAGTTTTGGTGTTCTTATTTGGAATGGCTTAGGTATAACAAAAAGATATAGGCAAAAAAATAAGGTTGTTATTGCGGCAAAATAAGATATAATATTGGATATTGAATTTGTGGCTTCTAGTCTACCCTTGTAGTAATTTGCGCATTAATTGGCTGCATGGTTTCTTGAGTGTTATGTGGGATTTACTGCTTTACTTGATGTTTGGTCTAAAGTTCTCACTTCAAAAGTTTTTGGTGTAATAAGGACCTTCAAAGGGCAAAACTTTGATCATCTTTCTTACTTCTGCGGTCATTTCTCCTATTGGATTGAAAACCTTGGATTGTCTCATGCGTTCATAAATCAGGTCATTGACCTTATTTTTAACTAACAAAAATCTGAATATAGGATGGTACTCTTGGCTTTATTGGCACTTGAAGGAGTGCTACAAGATGTTCATGAGAACTAGAGTCTCAAATTGAGAACGTAATCTAAAGGTAGACAAGCTGTAGGAATGCAAGAGGGAAGTTAAATGTTCATTTGTAGGTAGTTAGATTTTATTCAACAGTCCAAGCTTGACTTAGCGATACCCAAAAACTCATATGCCTTTCTTGGTTGGACTAACCTAATTGTTAATTTTCAACAAGTATACTGAGTCTTTTGAGCAAGAAGCAGAACCAAAAGAATGATACTAAGTGTTTCTTAGGATTATGCCCAATGTCCAACTTGAGCAATTTTGCATGCTACCATTGCCAGGGTTCAAAGTATCGGCCGAGACCGATACGACTCGACCGAGTCGTATCCGTCTCGGTCATGACCGATCCGATATCTATACACGATACATAAATATCACGAGTCATCCATGACTCGACAATGAATTGGTTATAACTCGATAGCATCAACTCGACTCGGACTCATATCGTTTGAATCGGGCGAGTATCGGACTCGAATAGATACTGGTAGAACTTCTGCAAAATCTCCAAAGTCAAAAATGACAAAGGAAAAAAAGAAATGGAGAAAAAGATCTAAGACTCAAATGGGCATTTTTCAAACTTAAGTCAAAAAAAATACAAGCAAATTCACCCCTTTTTGCAACTACAGAAATAGAAGAAAAATTAAAATAATTGCAAGGCATACTTGTTAAAATCGAAGACACAAAAAGCCCTAGCATCATCGCAGAAGCCCCCTCTTTCTTCTTTTTCATCATCGCAGAAACCCTAGTATTGTAGATGAGTCAGAGACTCAGATCCCTCCTAGCGAGCCTTCAGCAACTAGCATCAACTCCCAGACTCTCATCGTCTCTCTCTCTCTCGCTTTCTCTCTTATATGTTCTCGGTTCGTTGATAAGTCTAAGTCTCTCTCTCTCGTGTATGTTCTCGATTCGTCGTTGCTCAGAATATGTAAGGCTTTGGTCTTATAAGGAACGAGACCCAAAAATTTATTTGTCTCTCCCTTTTTTTTCTTCTCTTTTGGTTCCAAATAGTCCCATAATTCAATTCGTTTTGGTCAAATTTTTTTAATTATATAATTTTTAGTATTTACCATATAATATAATTAGAACTTAACTTATTAAGTTTGTTTTTGTATATGTAATGAAAGATTTTATAATTAAATATACATAATGAAAAAAATACATATAATTTCTAGTTAGATATACAGTAAATAATTAAGTGAAGAATTTATTTATAAGTAGACTTTCATTTTTAAAGCTATTAAGTTAACCATATATATACACTTATATATTTTTATAATTTTTAAAAATTACAAATTAAATTATATTAATATTGAACATAGATGTTGACAAATATTGTTTAATGTATTAAATAATGTCTTTTGGGGATATGATGCATGATGATATTTACATTTATTACAATTTTTTCTAATTTTTTTGAGCATTCTATATAGCGTTTTGAGCGTATCAGCCGATACAGCGCCCCGACGCTGCGGCCGATGTGTTTCAGTGGTCTCTGAGTCAAGGGCCGATATCGCAACCTTGAACCATGACCATTGCTTCCTATGATTGACAGAAACTTGTATTTATTATCCACAAAGCTATCTTTGTTTATCCTACTAACTCTTAGCAAAGTTGAACTCCATTTTTTGTTTCAGGCACTAACTCTGGTTCTGCTTTTGGTTCATTTTGTCACTTAAGTGGATGAGGAAACTCATTACCAAAGGTCTAGAAATTCTAGGTAGAGTTTAATTTTGATATCATGCCATGCCCCGTAAACAAATAAGTGGTCTTTCCAGATTTATTAGAATCTTCCTTTTCTCTTCTTGTCTGGGTCCTCTTTACCTTTTTCTTTATTTCGTAATCCCTACAGAGTGGTATCTTATAGGTTTAAATTTACTATTCAGTTTATTATTACTTTGGGTCTCTCATTTGCTATTTTTAAGCAATACTACAGTGCGATTTCAAGCAAATAGGCTTCATTTTTTAGTATCTTATTATGACAGGAGTCTTGCTGTAGTTAGTACCTCTTCAGTACTGTTTGAGCTAGTTCCTTATTGTTTTCATGCACTAAGTTCTAGAAAATTTTTATTTGCTTAATATAATGGTAGGTTATATTTGGTGAGATTTTAAGTGGGCCCGCTTGGATTGTGCTATCTATGAAGATTTTATATATCTTATAGAAATTCGGATACTTTATTTATAGTTCTTGCATTAAACTGTCCGAAATAAGGTCATGTTATATCACAAGTTCATGTTTTTATGATCTATATTTGTATTTAGTTGAATGATGTTACCAATCTCCATCAAAGTGGTTATTGATTGTTATTGAAAAAAAGTGAAGTGCAACGAATCAAAGCCACACTATTGAGACTTCAAGGTGACAGAGCAAATAATGTCTCTGGATCTATAGAAAAAGAATTCTGAGAATGTCTGGTCAAATCCACTCTTGTCTTCACCATGGGTCATTTCCCCTGGCCAACAAGATTTTAAGTTTTGCACATGTTTGTAAGTTCTATAATTGGGTTCTGCCTCTGAGGAAATAAGTAAGCTGGTATAGTTGTATATCCGTTTAGTGAAACTCCATGACATTATCATTTCTGGTCATATGATCCATTGTTTCAATTTGTGGAAGAAATGAACTCTTTCCATTTTTAGGGCAATACCATTTACCTTTTTAGGGGACTGTAGTAGATTAAACCCTCCTTTTCCTTCATCTTGGTTTGCTTTGGCTCCTGAACTTGACCTTGCTATTCTTGGCCTCAGGCTTGGCTTTTTTGCTTGGAGTTCTTGCCTTTTTGATAATTTAAGCCATTGCCTTGGCCTGGTCTTTACTCCACCTGGCTAAATACTTTCAATCTAGTGGGCTACTTGTGTGTGCCGCCCCTAACACTGGACAATTTGGCACAGTCTAGACTTCTTTCCTGTTAAAATCTTCTGGGGCTCATAATCAGAAGTTCATAGGAGGATTAATTAGCAAGGGTGGGGGGGGGGGGCCCTAATTTGGGGGAAACACTCCTAGAGGAATTGAGTTGATTTTTCTTTTCTTTTTTTGTCTTTATTTTGGTTCTTACTTTTTGGTGGGATGTCTTGGTCCTTTTGGGTGGATTATTAATTTTCATTACATTTTCGAAATACAAATGAAAAAGGGAAAAATAAACATCGGCCTTGTAGTGGACCAAAAACAAAAAAAATGGCCTTGTAGGAACATAAGACGGATGCTTCTTTAGAGTACACACCTCGTCATGTCCATAAGTACTGCCTATAATTACGGGTTTGATGCACTTCCTGTCTATTATTGAACTTTGTACTGAGGCCTTATGCTTATATTCAACTTATAGTGACAGGCTCAGGGCTTGCAAATTTCCTTTGAATGAGATCTACCCTACCAAATGTTACCTTAGACTAAGATTGAAGAGCCCAATATCTGCATGCTGGGTGAATAGGACTGTTCTGTCTGAATATGGGTTGGCAAATCCATAGCCAAATTTGTGTTCCATTGTTAGGAATCTGTATGTGCTGAACAATATTTCTAGCCAGGTTTAGCAGTTATTTTAGATTTATGATGCCTAATTATTGTGACCAGGGGATACTACAGGAGACAAATGGGAACATGCCCGTATTTCTTCAAGATAAATGTTTGCTCTCTATGATGGGTTATTGTGCACCGGATCTCAGCAGTGATGACCAATTGCTGAAGGTTGGAAAGATAGACGGTAGTCACTTCAACTCCACTCATGGGAATACACATCCTTGGAGTGGTGAAAATATGCTTGGAGAAAACTGTGGACAATCAAGCTGTAGATGTCACAAACTTCACGGATTGTTGGAACAATATAGGCTGGCTTCTGTTGAAAATGGCCACTGGATTAGACTCATTTATGGTTCGAGTGAATATCTTGGTGAAAAAAATGAGTGGATACCTGAATTGCATCACATACATTGGGACAGTCAGACAATATCCAACATTGATCTTCACGTATGTAAGTCTGTTATATCTCTACTGCATACCCAAATTTTCAGTCATTTTGATTCCTCTTCTTGTTGATATCCTTCCTTTCATCAAAATAAATTCAGGTAATAGTTTATGAAACTCCCACATTTGGTGGTCACCATTTTTCATTGGGACTTTGGAGTTCTTCTGAGCAAGTGAAAACTCCTCTCAAGAAACCCAAATGGGTCAAAGACCTTCATCAAAAGCAGCCACTACTTGACTTGGTATTATTATTTTGGGAGTGATGCATTTTTTGGTTTACGCAAGTGTTAATTTGGTTACTTGTATACTTTCTAACACAGGATACCGTAATCCTGGCTATTAACTGTGCCACTGCTGCCAGATTATTGCTTCAAAGACACGTGCATCCTGAAAAGTCCATGTCTCAGTTTCACATTGTTTGCTTGTAAGCTCTTCTACTTTGGTACCTCCTGCTTCCCCCGCATTTTTCTTTTGATGTGCAAATTATAATGGTCATGTTGTGACTTTTCAGTTTCTTCACCTTCATATGGAAACTACTGGCTGTGTCTGTGGCTTCATTTTCCACTTTATCCTACATCACTCTTCAGTTTCTCCATGTTCTTTTAAGTTGGGGATCACAATCATCTGTATACACCACATTAGCAAAAGTATTCAGCAATACTGGGAGTATTATGCAAATCCGCTGTTCGCAAATCTTATATTGGCCAATCTCCCTTCAAGATAACGGTTTCAGGTAATAAGAATGTGTACCTGGCAGTATTTGATTGCTTAATTTGCATTATTTTGTATAAAAGTCCTCATACATGCTTTTTAATTTCTAATGAAAATTATCCGCCAAGTATATGTCAATAGTCTTATTTAAAACACTCAAATTTTAACCAATTATAACCAATTTATATGAGAAACTAGTGTAGGTTGATAATATTTTGTAATTCTTGTTCATTGTTGGGCATGGTTAAAGCTGATGTTGACATAAAACCATATAACGTGACCATTGGACTTGTTTTTGTACAATCTTTTGCTTTTCGTGGTCAGGAGAAACAGGCCACCGAATTAAAGAGTTTGACCTGTTTGTTTGATTCAATGTGCATGATGTCAGGCTCTTTATTTTTGATCTCAAAAGGTTTGGCAGATTAGTGATGGAAAATAACTAGAAGGCACAATCTTCTAATTGTATTTGTATTTTGCTTGGTGGATCTTCTACATTAGACCATACTGTGATATATACATCTCCAAAAGTAATACCTATCTTCTTTTTTTGTTTTTGTAAAAGATCACTAAAAGTGGCAAAGGGATCATAGCCTCGAGTGTACTGGTAACGCCAATAACATGTCACTAATGGAAACTATGTAAGAATCAGCAGCCTAGGGCACCGTTCTGGTTGCCTAGAGATCTTTTATTTCAGAAACAAATGTTTCAACTTATTTTGCAACTATAGGTTCTCGAGAGGCTGCTAATTCCTCTGATATTAAAATGCAGAGAGACAGAGAGGCATGCTGTTTACCACACTAGCCTGGACTTAATATCAGTATTGCATCCTTCCTAATTTCTAATGCTTCAACCATCAATCACAGCATGACCAAATGCACCCCAAAAAGAGATTGTAGAAGGCAGCATAATTCTTTAGCTGTCCCACAAATGCACCAACATTGTTAGCTACAATCACCCTCCTTAGCTATAAGCTTATAACCAGTCCTGGCATGAGGTATCTTCCTGGAAACTTTCTATCTGCACTTCCCCACTAATGAGTTCATATCAACTCAACTCAACTGAACAAAACTTGGTCCCAGCTATATGGAGTCGGCTACATCAATCTTTGATCACCATTGTGCCATGTCCAGGGCCGTGTTTTCTGTTAAATCGCCAACTATCATTTTATTTCTTGCTATCTAAATCAACTTTAATTTAGGTCTACCCTCATGCATAAGTTGCATAACTCTCAATAGGACATCACTCTTCTAGCCTTCCTCACCTGTGCAGCTATAGGTGTTCCTCCCATCGTCCTCCGGTGCCTTTACACCAAATATGTCTCCATCACCACTTCCCTGCAAGGGCATGCTCCAGAATATTGGTTATTCAATCACATATCCCTTCTTCCCCCAATCTCTACTTCAGACCAAAGGAATGCAAACATTGTCTCCATCCACCTACTTATGTTCAATTTTTCTTCATTATTCTGATTTTCATTGATTCTGGATCATGCATCAAGTATGCAGTGTTTTCTGTGGACAGATGAAAGGTGGTTATGTATAATTTTGAGATTAGGTTTACTTGTTATTTATATGAATATATTGTGCCTTGTATACTGCCATGTTTCCTTTTTGGAATAGGTTCTTTTAATTTTTCTCCTCATTATTCTGAATTTCATTGATTTGTAAGGTCTCAATCATGCGTCGAATATGCAGAGAAAGCTGCTTCACAAAAGCATTCCATGTGGTTAAGTATAGCAGTTGATGTTATTTTGGGCAACTTGCTTGGCATTGCGATGTTGTTTCATGCTGAATCTACTTGCTTATGGGTTTTGAATTTTGCAAAAGACATTACGAACTATTTGTTACGCTCTGGTTGTGTGTGGTTGATGGGAATCCCTGCGGGTTTCAAGTTAAACACTGAGCTGGCAGGAGTTCTTGGCATGATTTCTCTCAATGCAATTCAATTTTGGTCGACACTTTGGTTCTTTGTGGATTTTCTCTTTATCTATTTTATTAAGGGACTTGCGATATCCGGGGTTCTTTTTGGTATGACTACCCCTGCTGCTCTGCTCATAGACATAATTTCACTAGCAACCGTGCACGTGTCAACTCTTCATTGCTCAATCTCACTACTCTATTCATGGCAGTTACATGCTATAGCAGCCTTGTGGCGCCTTTTCAGGTAATCCTAAGCTTTCAACTGTTGAAATTCTGACAAACTATATTTTGCAATTGTAACCCTATACTTTCTACGATGTCACAATTGAAAACAAATTGTTCTGCCGAAGAAATGTAATTATTGACCATGCTAGGCATTCAGCCTAAAAGTAGTTTGACTAACAACTGGCAGAATACTCTATTTGATCTAAGAAAAAATTTGAGGCTGTGTTCTTGCCAAAGGATTTCGGAAATCAAGCCATCAAGGATTTGACGAATCCTTCTGGGCTTGAAATTGCAGGAGTTGTGAAATCCTATGTTCTCTGTGAACTCAACTTAGAATACATGAGTACGATATGTGTGGAAAATTAGCATTTACTTTGAGTTGATGATGCAATTTTTAGTATGAACATCCGGAAAATGGGGGCTACTGGGTGGAGTCCATTTTGTGGGAAAATGCTGGCTTCTATGCACACATGCAGATGGTGGATCTTTGGATTAGCTGGAAAGAGATGTGATGCTTGCGAAAAAATCGACATTATTTCTTTTTTTTTTTTTTAAATGGTGGGTGAGGAGGAATTTGAAATTGTGTTACACGAACAGGAAAACATCACGTTATTGGAGGTTCCTGTAACTCTCTAGATGTTTTGGAGACTAGTATGTGGTGGTAACTGTTGTGGGGTATGAAGCGATGAAACTTTTCCTTACTTACATTCTTCCAATCTTTTCCTCTTCTCCTTGATGGGCCAAAGTTATGGAGGTGTGGCGCCAGGTGTTTTGTCACCAAGAATTTGTTCATGACATCTCCTAACAACACGTTAGAATAGAGTATTGGTATATCGAGTCAATAGAACAATATTGGGCAACATCATGCAATATGAGGCTGTTTTTGGTGGCAATTCTCAATCTTCGTGCGAGGTGTCATATCAACTAGGGATATGATCTGATCTCTTGCTCTTTAGAGCAAAAACATGCTCTAGCTTAAAATCCCAGGACTTAAAAAACACATTCACCAGTTCCTACCAAACGAACATGGTAAGAAGAAATAACGTACAGCATGAAAAATATAAGGTGCCCATTAAGGTTAACGGACATTTACTTTTGTTGGGGTTAACACTAATGATTAGATTCAGAGAAGGAGATCATTTACTTGCTTGTCACCATAATGGTGCGTGTCAAGGGAAGGTTAAGAGTATTGATCACTTTTTTGTTCACTGCCAAGTTGCATTGGGGTGGAGGAATTTATTTCAGTTGGCAGGATCGGGTGATTCTTATGTTTGTGGAAGACTATGTGGGTTTTGGGATTTACCACCCTTTGGAGGTGTGCAATTCTAGCTATTTTCTGGGGTATCTGGTTGGAGAGATATGCTAGAGTATCTGCGGATAGAAATGAGTATGAAGATCACCTATGGGATAGAGTTCATTTCTTGACATGTCTATTGGAAGTCATTATCTGGGTTCTGGAACCTTTGTTCTGGAAAAGTGAAGATGTATTTTCCTTTTCTACCCTTTTTATCATTTTTAATCCTGATATAAGGATGGTTGGCAGGATGTCTCGTCCAATGTATCCAATTACTGTACCTTTTATTTTTCTTTCTTTAACAAAGTCGTGTTACTTATCTAAAAAAAGTGCACTACTTGAAAAGAAACATGCTTGTGCATGTCCCCCACGCTCTCCCACCTCTTTCTCTTTCTCTCTATTCATTATTGATCTTTTTGCCATTGAAATGTACCATTGGATGGAGTTTAGCATAATTTTCAATTACAATATTTTACAGTTTGCTTGGCCATGCATTTGCTTTCTCCATAGCTATGTTAGGAACATTGGCTTTTTGATTTTTGATTCTGAGCATGTGTTTTTTTTTGAAAGTAGAACATGTGTTTGTTTGATTCCTGCTTTTAGTGTCCATTTTTCGAAGTTGTCTTCGACTTTCAACTTTCATTCATTCCTCCCATAAAACTGCTGTTAGATGGTTGTTACCACTTAATTACTGTCATTAGTTGCTCTCTCGTACTTGTATTTTGGCACTAGTTAAGTATTCCAAGACTGGTACATTACATAGTACCCCAGGATAATGTTTCACATATATATCACTTCATGGTGGAGAAGGGCTGGTATTTAGAGTGAGAATGACGTCTTTTAGTGTTACGAAGGTGGTTTTACCCTGCCAGTTGAAAAGCTAAATTCCTTGTCAGTCATTTGATTGGAGTCAATTTTTCCCTGAAAATATTAGCCTTGTTAATGTGGCTGTATTCTTTTTATGCAATTTACATTCAAATGTTATGATTTGTGGTTGTTTTTAATGGTTTAAGCATCTCACAGCTGCTGAATTATTGGCAGGGGTCAGAAGTGGAATCCTCTACGTCAGAGGTTGGATAGTTATGAGCACACAGTGGAACAACATATTGTTGGCTCTCTTCTGTTCACACCGTTGTTACTTCTTCTACCTACCACTTCTGCTTTCTACATTTTCTTCACCATCATGAACACAACCGTTATCTTTGTCTGCATACTTGTTGAGGTCACAATATCTTTTGTTCATACTACGCCTTACACCAAACTCTTCCTGTGGTTAGTGAAGCCGAGAAGATTTCCATCTGGAATATGGTTTGAAATTTTATCTGGTCAAAGTAATGTTATTGACGCTTCAGAGACTAGATTTGATGATGAAATTGGTTGTGTGTCCGAGAAATCAAGTGAAGGAGTTGACATAGGCCAGAGTAAATCCACTATATTGGTTTCATTGCTCCACGGCAACTATTTGAATATGGGTGAGCCCTTGAGATGACATTCTTCAGAGTTTATATTTTTTGGTAGGAGCAAATGGTTCTATAGTGCGTAGACAATAGTATATGGGGATTTTGTGTGTGTGTTTGTGTGGATGGTAGGACATGCATTGATTTAAAAAAGATTTGGCTCTGAAAAGCACTTTCTGTTCTTGACTTAAATTAATTGGAGTAGAGCTGTGACTGCGAGCTTATTTTGAATTTTATTTTGATATTGCACCCATAATTTATGGTTTCCTTTGACAGCCAGGTTGAGTTTTTCATTATCATAGATAAACTTAGAGTAAGATGATAAGCATTGATTTAAGATTTAATATGCTTAGTATATACACAACATTGATTCCCAGAGAGTACTCTCTCTCTCTCTCTCTCTCTCTCTCTCTTCACATTTGTGATTTGACAATGAAATTACATGCATGCATATTCTCCCTCCATATCTGTGCTCAATATTATGGCTTGGATGAGGATGAGTGGACATGTGACCTTTGATCCCGCTTGAGGAAAGCTTTTGATTTGTTCTCTTTTATTTTCTGAGTCAGTTATATCCTTAGAACTTGAAACAGATTCTCAACGAAAAGAAACTACTTCAGCTGCTTCTTGAGCAAAATATTATGTTACAAGTACGATATCATCTATAGACATTGTATCCTTTGCTAACTTAAGGGAATTTTTTTTCAGGACAAATAGTTTGGCCTCATTGTAGATATGTTTACTCTGCGGTTTCTAGGTCATCTATCGCTTCATCAGTTTATGGAGTTCTCACTGGAAAGAGGTTAGCAGCAGCTTTTGTCTTTCTGCGTATTCACATGATTTCTCATCTCTTATTTACTGGGATTATAGATGTGACTCTCTCTCTCCAATTTTTTTTTAAAATGTTACTTCTGCAGTATACCATCTGCTATGGGGACCCGTCTCCCTTCGAAAATGCCATGGATGTGCATCCCCTGCAAGGAATATTGGCGCCTTTGCCATGATGCAGTTCTTGCGTGCAAGACAGATTGTACATGTCATGCACGTCAATGATCCAGCAACACTTTCAATGACCTAAGCTGACTTTGATATTCTTGTATGGTTGAGTCGTTAATTCTTTTTTCTTATCACGCTAGGTATTCAGGGCTACCACTGAGTGCTGGCCATCTCGAATCAATTTTGGTAGGGCTGTTCTAAGCATGAAAATACCCAAAGTTGTAGGGTAGATAATGGTTTGACTTGTGCATATCTGATGCAAATTCTTTCCCACTTTCTCTGCCTCTCTTAACTTCTGCACATTATAGTTTGTGTTGCGTGGATGCGTCTCGTATTATATTTGTTGTCTTCTATGGTTTTGAGAATCAATCATCTTCTTTGTAAGGCAGATAACATTACTAACATATCATCAGATACCATCAAAATAAAGATTGTCTTGCAGCTACGGATGCTATACATTCAGCTTTGGTATTACTCCCATAAATTTTTGAATTACCAGAACTTGAAGAAAACTTCTTCCAAGTGTGTGTATATATATATATATATATTTTCAGACTATGTGTGTGTGCTGCTTTACTTCAATCGGAAGGTTTTTGGTGGGACTAGTTATGAAATAAATATTTAAAACATCCTTTGACCCCGACCTCGGTCCCAAACATAGAGTCGACTCAGATCCAAACCCCTAACCTGCATCCAACCCGACCTCGACCTCGATCCATATGGTGGTGGTTGTGGTAGTGAAGGTAGCCTTCAAAGCCGAATTTAACAACTTGTTAGGAGTAGGTTTTGTTTTAGTGATTGTAGTTGGGAAATGAGAGATACTATCAAATATTGAGGAATGACAATTCTATGTTGATGGGATTAGGCATTCTATGACGATGGGAATGAATTTTCATTATTGCGTACCAAACAACGAGAATTACTAAGTAGTAGTCATTCTATTCCCATATTTTATTATCACCTACCAAATTCTTTGGAAACTGGAATTCTAGATGAATGGTTTGTATATGAATTTTGGAAAATGTAAAAAAAGAACATCGAGAGAACAATTCAAATTGGAATTTGGTATAACAGGAATACTATTGAGGTATAATGTATTGTGACCATTAGATTGATAGTTGATAATGCATTTGTGTCCACTGGGTTATCGCATGACTCTTTCTGTCAAAAAAAAAACTAACAAATGCATATTGAAGGGTAAAATTGTTCAAATTACTTTGTTTAGATTTAATTGACATAAGAGTCATAGTTTGAGGATTATTTATGCAATTTATTTTTTGTGTTTAGTTTGTTTTGCCTAAAATACGTCTCTTGTGTTGTCCATGTGGCGGAAGGGCAAAATTGCTGAAAGAGAAATGTTATTTGAACAAAAAATATTGATAATATTTGTTGACTCTCTCCATCACAACCATTGAATAAGTAATATGTGTCAAATGTTTGGACCCACAGTTAAATCAATGATAATGATGTTGAAAGTCAACAAATATTGTCAATATTTTTTGTTCAAGTAACATTGCTCTAAGTTGGTCTCGCACTAATACATGACAAGCGATCTAGTAATAAAGACACTATGAGTGAAAAGTATTGCGTATTGAATCCCTCGTGTGTTATTTATTAAATGGTTAATGACACTTTTGATTTTCAACGTATATAATTTTTTGTTAGATTAGTTATCGTTGTATTAATTTTATCAATTTGGTTCCGAAAACATTTAATTTATGACACTTTGCTTCCTAATCAAATAATCTATCAAGTTTTTTGACTGGTAGACTACGTGTCATTTTTTAGACGGTATGATATTACATGCCTAACACGTGAGCATTCCCGTCAAAAATTTAACGGTCCGTTTATGTAAGGACCAAAATGATATGGATTGAATATTTTAGAGATTAAATTGACAAAATTAATATAACAAGAACTAAATTGACAAAAAATGCTATTTACCCTCTATTAAATGTTATAATCATCAGATTATATAAGATTCACTTTTTTATGTAGTAGTTTATTAGATTATTAGGGGTAAGACTGTTAATCAAATTGAGTTTCTCGAGCTTGACTTGAGTTTAGCTCGTTCAAGCTCGATTTGTTTTTTAAACGAGTCCGAATTTGAACAAGTTAGGCTCATTTGAAAAACAAACCTTAAAAGTTCAGTTCAAACTCGACAAGTTGGACTTGTTTATGTGTAAATACTCGAGCTCAGCTCGGGCTCGATTTGTTTTTTGCTCATTTAGGTTTGACTCGTTTCTTAAATAAGTAGAACTTGAACAATTTTTTTGACTCGATTAAAAAATAAGTTTTTCAAACTTGGTTCAAACTCGGCTTGAACTCGTTCAACTAATAGTCCTAATTAGGGATAATTTGTACTTGAAGGTCCAGAACAATGTTGAATGGTATTGAAAAGGATGTTGATTATGATTGGATACGTTTATTTGAAATTGTCGAATGATCTTTATTGAAACTTATCTTATTTTATATTATAGATTACGCACAATTATACATACAGCTCTTCGATATCGAAGTTGAGGACAAACTACCCATCTAACGTAGGCACGAAAAGTTAAACATAAAACTGTAGTACATGACACCGAATGCCCTGTCTTGCACGTTCCAATTGATTACCAAGCTCTGCAGGAAACTCAGACAGCTAACCAAACTACCAACTTAATGGTCCATATGGACGGCCCTCTCTCTCTCTCTCTCAGATAGCTACAAAGAAAACCCAGCAGATGGTTCACGAGAATGCGATAGAGAGACTCAAAGACCTATTACACTTCTCTACTTGTCGATGAGGCTTACTATATTGTTCTATATGGTCTTCGTTTCACTTAACAATGTCTTTTGTGTTAGCTCTGTCTGATAGGTTTTGGAAGACAGTACCCTGCAAACATGTGAGTGCACATGTAAGGGGCCCGGTATCATTTTCGTATCTTGGTTTCACATGCATGATAATTTTGGATTGAAGTTTTGGTATCTATATGCCAGCCCCTGGCTTTAAACTAACTGAGTTGCTGGCCATTTACTTCTTCTATTATCTTCCTAATATCCACTACATTTAGACCTGACAACTCTGTGAATCCGATATAAAATCGATATGGAGTGAATGAGTTTGAACTTAACTTTAATGGATCAAATGATAAATAATGGATATGCCAGACTCATTGGATAAATGGTCAATACAAATTCTGATAACTTCAGTTGATAGAGGATTATCAATATACACGATTATCAATAGGTTATGTATGAATTGATGATACCATATATATATTAACAATTCCTCTTTTCGATGAACATAGCAAGAAAACCTAAACCACAACAACAAAAAATCAATAGTATATAATTTTTTTAATGCTTTAATGGGCATGGATGGTAATTAACAATTACAGCAAAAATCTATAGTACTATGTGTCATCCACTAAAGGGCATGTATGTCATTTCCTAGAGCACAAGGTGAGGCAGCGTTTCTAGCAAAAAACTGTTGCATTGCAGTATCTTCACAAGCATAAGAAGATGAATAGAATTCTCATAACTCCTCACCTAAAGCCATACAACTTCCTATAAAACTCCTCACAAGCCAAAGCCTCCCCACCTCTCTCTCCCTCTCTCTCTTGCTGCTGAGGAGCTGTAGCATTTCGTTTTGTTGAGCTAGGCAATGGGAAAGAAACTAAACCATGTGATGTTCTTTTTTCTGATGATGTTTCTTCTATTAGCAGAGATTCATGTAAGCAACAATTTATAGTAGCTCTTTCTTCCCTCTTGTTTGTTCTGTTCTTATATCTCCAGAACTCGTACATTTGAATCTTCCAGTCTTTTAATATTTCAGGTTTCCTACATCACTACATAATGGTTAGTTCTTCTTCTTGGCCATGATGGGATATAGCTAGATACCACTTAGGGTGTCCATACAGTTTTTGAAGAAGAAAAACAAAATCATTGATTGGTAATGCTATTTTAAAATATACTTTTATCAATGCTAAAAAAAAAAAAGTATTTTGCCATAAGGTCTATAAACAATACATTTACATACGTGCATATGTATACTAACACTACTTTTCAACAAAAAATTTAAAATATTTTTAAAAACAATTATGAAACGGTAAGAAAATATTGCTTTTTCAATATGAAAAAAAAAAAATGAAAAATCAAAAGATCGTCTTATTCCAAATTCCAATTATGGCATCCCTCCTCTCACGCTTTATATCTCAGAACGCACCATTCTTATAGAAAGAAACGACAACTTACTAATTGTGAAACGTTTAGTTACTCGAATGTATCAACAAATTCATTTGATTCTTTCGACTAATGATTTTAACCAAAATAAATTTTTTGGGCACAATAAGAATTTGTATTATCAAATGATATCGAAGGGATTTGTAGTCATTGTGAAAATTCCATTTTCTCTATGATTAATATCTTCCCTACAAGGGAAAGAGATAGGTATGATACATTGAGATAGCTACTGATCAAAGCCAAAGCCACTGTTTTCTTCTGGGGGTTGGGTTTTTTTTTTTTCCCCGGGGGGGGGGGGGGGATACACTTGCTATTTTTGCTAAACATAACTATGTATTTTGGTGATACTTGCAGGCTACCATCAGTGAGTCTCCAAGTCCTCAACCACAACCAACAGGGAACTTTCCCAAGGTGAGATTTGTAATGTGAAGATGTACCATTTTATTGAAATGAACCGTTGTTATTCTTTAAAAATACTAATGCTTGCCTGTTCTTGCTGAGATTTCAGTATGGTATAACTCCAGGAAGCCTTCATCCCCAAGGTATGCACTGATTTGCATGTTGTTAATTAAGTTGGCGTTTGCATGAAAGCTTTTGTTAGTTAATTACTATCGATGCACTACGTGCGTTTAACTTGAACAAATATAGGTAATAAATTTTTAATAAAAAACCTAAAAAGGACATTATGTACATAATAATTAAATTAAACGACATCTCATATTTTCCAAATTTATATTTTTATCATCAATGTCATGTTATATAATTAAAAATTTTACGCAAACTAAGTCTAGTAATAAGAAAAAAATAACAGATAAATAGTACGCTCATGTATTAATGTAGTGTTTTCTCGATGTAATTTAGTAATTCGAAAGATTTTCCAAGCATCTTGATATTTACAAGTTGAGAAAATGGAAAAATCGACTAAATATCCTACCAAAATGAAAAAAGAGACAAAATCGAGCTGATATCGGTGAGAGGAGTTTTATGAATTTTATAAATTGTGATTCATATTGTTCAAGTTGAGAAAATGGAATTAAAGTGAAAGTAAGTACTTTTTATGAATAATTCCATTCAAAGAAGGTTGGTTTGGTGCAATTCAACCCGAGAAAAAATTATTTTTAACGATCGCATTTAAAAATTTCTTGGCGCTGCCACTGCTTAAGACCGATGCTAAAGTTTTATGTTTATTTGCAGAATGTGGTCCACGTTGCAGCGTTCGATGCTCAAAAACGGCATTCAAGAAGCCATGCATGTTCTTCTGCCAGAAGTGTTGTGCCAAGTGCTTGTGTGTGCCTGCAGGAACTTACGGAAACAAGCAGTCCTGCCCTTGCTACAATAACTGGAAAACTAAGAGAGGAGGACCTAAATGTCCTTGATCACTGTCCTTCTTTTTAACTCCTTGATCATATTCATTCAACACCTACTATTTGTGTGTAGTTCTTAGAATTTGTTTTTTCGTTTGTTTCATTGGAGCTTTTACTTGGACTTTGCTGTTTAAGACTGGTCTTTTAACGTCACAATTGGGTTCCCCATTCACTCTATCATGAACTTGCTCCTTTCTTATAAGGTGTAGTGACAATTGCCTAACTAGTATGCAGCATTAAATCCCCTACAACACCCCCCCCCCCAAAAAAAAAAAAAAAAACTGCTGAAATATTTTATTCTTTTATTTCTGTCTTCGGGTATTCATCTTGAAAATACATTTTTTTTAGCTCAATACAATATGGTGAACGGAAAAATGTTTTTAACAAATGTTGTCCATCAAATGATAAGCCAGTTGACGAGCCCAGATCTAATTGGGTCAAATTCAGTAAATCAAGCAAGCCAGGATCCACTAGAAAGGCGAGTCCAATCTGATTCATCAATTCGACCTAGCCCATAATTCATGGAACCCAAGAAGATAAGAACATATGAGAGAGAGATTATAGCGATACTCACTCTCAAAAATCAAGACTATCTTAATTGTACTTGTTTTTTGTAACTATCATTCCCGAAGAATTAATACCCTCACACTCACATCATTGTGTTACCATGCCTATAAATTGTAAGCTATCTTTATTGAGAGAGGCATCTCACTACATATTGAGCTCTACTTCTACACTCCTCTACACACACATAACTTTTCTCTCTTCTGGCCATTGTATCTCTCCCGAGGCTAACTATTATTCTCCCCCCTGTTTACTTCACTTCATCAATAAAAACTCTTCGGCCACCATTGCTGTTTCTCAAAATAGAGTAGATCATACTGACTGAACCACTATATATCTGTGTATTGACTCAATATTCATATTACTACCATTGATTGTTTTATTAATTGTCCATTAATTATACCTTACTACACACTCGACTGTTAATCTTGCACGAAACTATTTTTGTGCATCATCATAAGTTTTGCAATTATTAGAGGAATAACTAAACTAAAATTTTCAAAGAGTAAACCATTGAACTTAATAATCAATCATAAAATAATTAATTTTTTTTACAGAATGCTCCGTAATTTGTGTAATCAATCACAGATCCGAACCCTAGAAGCATATATTTCTCAAAAGACTACTAAAGACTATAGAGAGAAGTTTATGTGTCCTCGACTTATTTGTCAGTAAATTTGGGATTGTTAATCTTTCGGAGAGTAGTTATTTGATAATAAAACTAGAATGATTTATAGACAAAAAATTGAAACCAGGTGAAGCTGATTCGAGCTTTTGATTCGGCTCAATTACAAAATAGCTTTGAAATTTGAAAAAATTTAACTCATGAGTCAAAATCAAGTCGAACTTGAACTTTTGGGGCATGTTACAATACTCAAAAGTGCATCTGGAGGTTAGTGTGAGGGCAACATATATATATATATATATAATCAATAATTGAGTTGAATACAAATTTGGGACTTAATTACGGTACCCAAAAAAAAAATATTCGGTAGCATATATCCAAATTTTACTACGGGTGTTTTTATAATTTTTGTAGGTCATTTTATAATAAAAATATTTATAACTTTTATGGGTGATTTATTACTTTTATAAGTAATTTTATCACTTTTCTTTAGTATGAAAAAATTATCACTTTTGTGATTATTTTACCACTTTTATAAATATTTTTATCATTGTTGTAATACTTATTTCGATACCACAATAGTGATGAAACACCAACAATAATAATAAAAAAAATTAACAAAAATTATAAATACCGATACGATACCTTTTTCTTTTTTTTTTTCACAGACAGCTTTTACAAATTGGTGGTGGTGGTTATGTTGCCATATGGGTTTTTCGGTCTAATTTCACTATTTCTCGTGATATTCATGGTACCATGTTGTCCCTCCAGCCACCTCAGTAAGCAGCTGGTGGTTGGTGTACATTCTCCGAATATTCTCTCACCATGGTCAAACACCTAAATTTTCATTTTTGTAGTAAATTCTACTTGTTTTTTGTGGCTTTGAATGGTGGGGTTTGGTTTGTGATCCCGTGGAAATAGTGACTAGCCTTATAGGCGGTTGGGAGATCGTCTTTGAATGGGACAACTAAGAAGAAGATGAACAGTAGATCCATAATTAGCGGTCCTCTGGACTTGATGGAGTATAGTTTATTAGAGAGAGTTATAGATTCATAGAACAAAAGAACTACTTTTACTAGAAAGAAACAAAGACTCAAAATACAAATTAAAATAAAGAGCAAGACATATATAGTTTGACGAAGTTCTCATTATGTATTATTTATGCTCGTAAAATGAAAAATAAAATTAAATAATGTTTCCATTATTTATTAAGCACTCAGATTCTTAATAACCCAAATATATTACAATAAACTCATATTTTCATATTAATTTCGTGTCGAATGAATCGTCCTCGCGAGAGGAAGTTGAAAGACAACACCAGGTGCTAAGCCTCAGAGCAAAAGAGCAACGAGGACAGTTTTTCAATTTAAAATCCTTTTTTTTCGGAGACTCAAAAAACGTCAACAAATATGGGCAGTACCAAATAGACATTCTCCAAAACAGATAACCATAGATCGTGACATTGGACCCAAGAGATCGTCAGAGTGGCTAATCCAGTATTATTAGAATTGGACCAGATCGGCCAGTTAAACCGGTGAATCAGAGCATGAATTGATCCGAATTATGAATTAGATCACCTATGTAATTAAATTGCTAAAAAATCGCAAAATCGGTTAATTTTTTATAAAACCAATGATATTACTTGGATCTAGCTTGAATTTGTTTCAAATTACCCCAAAATCAAAAATCCGTCATTTACAAGAAATGTCCATTTGTAGTGAAATACAAATTTATAACATCTGAAATTTGGTTATTGTCAGAGAGTTATGGTTGAGAGAACAATTTGGGACTAATTACTATAGTTGGAGATGTGACATGGAAAAATGCTAATTGAGTGAGGGGATAATGTGAGATGGGAAGCATAGTTGAGGGGCAAAGTGTAATTTCCCCATTTTTGTTAGGTAGAGCCTGTAGAGTCTGGGTGGTTGTGGCACACATACCCAGTTGCTTATCTTCAGAACTCTTTATGTCTTTGCCGCATATTTCAACTCTCTCTCTCTCTCTTCTCTGTGTGTGTGTCTGTCTATATCTCTATCTCTCTGTCGTTGCAAATTTCAACTCTCTCTCTCTCTGGTACACACTCAGATCGATGGAGCCTAAAACTTTCATCCATGAGCACTTACTGATCCTCGAGGACGTTCATGAGAGAAAAGGTAAGAAATCAGTTACGTGCTATGGATGTTCTGAATCAATCAATTTTTTTGACCATGGTTCTGAATCAATCTTAGACACTGCATTTAGTTGTGCCCAGTGTAAAAATTACTTCTTGCACAAAAGATGTGCAGAACTCCCCTTGGAGAATAAAGACACTAGACACCCCCTTCACAGTCTCATGCTATATGAACGTTCGACTAGTAAATACCGTTCGACTTACATGTGTAGTGTTTGTAGAAAAAGATCCACTCAATTCACCTACTATTGTTCCCTTTGCCACTTTAATATCTGCATGTTATGTTTCTTTGGGGAGAACGTGATCACACACGAGTGTCACGAGCACCCATTAACCTTTCTAAGTAGGTCAATCTTGTTCAATTGTAATGCTTGCGAACAGACCGATAAAGATTCTTCCTATCTATGTTACACCTGTAAATTTTGGATTCATAAGAATTGCGCTTTATCACCTAGCACTGTTAAGCTTAGTGGTCATGATCACTCTCTCAACCTGATGAACCACGAGCCATGGAAGTTCAGAAAATATGAGGACTCTTGCAATACATGTCGTGAGTACATTAGGGATGGTTCATGGGTTTATCGCTGTTGTGACCAATGCTGCAAATATATTGTCCATCTCAAGTGCGCAACTTCAGAGTTGAAGCCATCGAGGTGAGTTTAATCTTTTTGTCTCGTCTCCATACCCCCCCCCCCCCTTCACTCTCTCATAACGAAACCCTTGCAATGCTCTTGTTATTGTTAACTAAGATAGTATTCCAATTTTTTTATGATTTCAGAGGAGGGGGAAGTAAGGATACAGCTAAAAAGAAAAAGGGTAAAGAACATCTTCCAGACCCTAGTTTGATTCGCTTACCGATGGCCGATGATTCCGTAGATATTATCACATATTTTGTTAAGCATGTTAGTCACGAGGAGACTAAGAGAGAAACAATGATCAATCATTGGAGCCATGACCATCAATTAATCCTTGTCGAGAAGGAAAATAAGAACGAGATGAAGGGTGACAAAATATTATGCGATTGTTGCGTGCAACTAATCTCACTTCCATTTTACATCTGTTCTAAATGCAATTATTTTCTCCACGTAAGTTGTGCAAACTTACAAAGAACATTGCACCTCCCATGGCACCCTGAACACCAGGTCCAATGTTCCCTATACCCCAAATTCTATAGTCTCTTCAATTGCAAAGGCTGCACGTCATATAGCAATGGATTCTTCTACAAATGTGAAATTTGTAAATTCTACCTCGACGTCAAATGTGCTTTCGTTCCCAATATTATTGCACATAAAGCTCACGAGCCCCAGCTTGTTGAAATTGACGGTACAAGGGCTAAGTGTCATGCATGCAATTCTACTTCCCGTGGGATGAGATTTCGATGTGATGCTTGCAAATTCTATCTCCACTACAAGTGCGCTCTGCTCCCATCTACCGTCAAGCATCGATGGGACAATCATCCCCTTAACCTAATATGTTTCCCTATCATTAATCATCCTGATGAATTTTATTGCGAATATTGTGAGGAAGAAATAAACCCAGAGAATTGGATCTACCATTGTCGTATTTGTGATCAGTCTTTTCATCCCGGATGCATTCTTGATCGATATTCAAACGTCAAGTTTGGGGGAACAGTTGAAGTTGATGACCATCCACACCCTCTTACGTTTGTGCAAAAGGCAAAAAGGAATTCCAAGTGCTGTAGAGATGGTAAGCCATTTGATGATAGTCCTGTATTCGAATGTGAAGACTGTAATTATACGGTTTGCAAAGGATGTCTCAATTTGCTTGTTAAGAATTCTTATCGCCCCGTGGAGGATGGAATTATATGATTAGTTAGAGCATTGTTACAAAGTGAGTGAGATATGCAGAACAACTTTCATTGTATTTCGTAACAATTTCCAAAACTTAATTTGGTTTTGTCTTTTCAGGTGGTAACTTGACTTCAAAGTTCATGGAATCTCACAAGAGAATCTTGGTATACACGATGTGAATGGTTCACAGGGTTGGATTTGTAGTCATGGTTCCAAAATATATGCAGTTGAGATGGTTCGACATTACAAGACAAAGTATTTCATAAAAATTCAAAAGGCTATTAAAGACTAGAGAGAAAAGTGTATATGACCTCGAGTTAATTGTCAATGAATTTGAGATTGCTAATCTTTCGAAGAGTAATTATTTGATATAGTAATATTATACTGATCAAATTTAGAGCCCAAATTATAGACAAAAAAATTGAGGCTCAACAGAGCTTACTCGACCTGAGCCTTTGATCCGGCTCAATTACAAAATAGCTTAGAAATTTGAGAAAAGTGAACTCATTTTATTATTTGAACCAATCTAAAGAGTCAAAATCGAGTCCAAGAACTTTTCAATGACTTAACAGCCTTAATTTTATGTCTATGCATGGCTCCATTTCATAGAAATGGGGCATGTTAAAATGCTCAAAAAGGCATATGGGTAAGTGTGACTGCAATATATATGATACAGTTAAGAATCTAGTCGGCGGTGGTCAAGTTGCCATATGAGTTTCTCAGTCTAATTTCATGGCACTGTCTTGTCCCTCCAGCCGCCTCAGTAAGCAGCAGGGGGTAGGTACCCCGAATATTCTCTCACTGCAACCCCAAGATAGTTCAAGAGACGATAAAAATAAACATAAATTGTAAATTTAAATGTCTTGAATTCGAATCTTGATAATTATTTGAGTTTAGGCCATAAGAGATTAATCTCTTGTGTATATCCTAATTTTGGTGTGGATGGTTTATCTTTGATTTTAAGGGATTAATCGAATTAACTCACACATATCTAACTGTTAAACTGAAACAAAACAAAAAAAAGAAAATATTCTCAGTATGGTCAAACACCTAATTTTCATATCACACATTTGATCCATATGTGCTCTTATCCCGAAATGCCCCTTTTGTGTAGTAAATTCTATTTGTTTTTTGTGGTTTTGAATGGTGGGGTTTACTTAATGGTCCCGATGGGAATAGTGACTAACGTTATGGGTGGTTTAGAGGTCGGATTTGAATGGACAAGTAAGAAGAAGAAAGCAAAAAGCAAGGCTCAAAATACAAATCAAAACAAAAAGCAAGGCACTTACAGTTTGAGGTAGTTCCCATAATGTATTATTCTTGATCCTAAAATGAAAAATAAGTTTCACGATGTTCCCATTATTTATGAAGCAGTCAGATTCCTAACGATCCGACTATATTAAAGGGTAAATTACACTGACATCTCCAATAGATTAGTTTAATTATAGAGATATTCCTTTAAATTTTTAAAATTACACTGACATCCTTTATTGTTTATCTACCCATTTCATAAAATATCTCTATGATTAATTATCGAAAATAGCAATGTCAGAAAAGTGATTACGTCATCAACTTCTCACACTTTAATACCCATATTACCCTTGAACAAAATTAAGTTAACCTGTTTATTTTCGTTTTGTGTTCGTATTCATATTCATATTTTTTTTTTTTTTTGACAATGTGGAACCTATCCAAGATAGGGCCACTTTGGTCCAATCCCTTTGAGAATATACTCCAGATACCTATAATCACCCTCAAATCACAAATATCGGTTAAGATCGCGTGGGTGCGTTCGTATTAGTGTTGATCCATATAAACTTTGAATAAAAAAATTTAACGTTAAAATTTAAGTTTAAGATTCTATTATCACTTAATTGAATGCATGCTCATACTTTTTCTATAATAAACAAAGCAATAATAATAAGTAACAAATAATTAATATTTTATTTTTATAATACCACCTAAACATGTTAATCGTGTCAATTTCGTGTTGTTCGTGTTAATATACGAACGAAAAGATAGAAAAAAGTTCGACATAATTAAATAAATGAGTTGATCATGTTACTTTCGGATTTAACGGGTTGAACCCAAAAATGATCCATTTATTAAAATTTAAATATATGAGAGGATAATAAGTAAAAAAATGATGTGTAGTATAGGTAATTATGAAAAATTGCATTTGTTTGTTATATTTGTTAAGAGACAAGACCTGATAGGGGTGTTAGTGTAATTTCAAAAAATTAAGAAATTGTCTCTATAATTAAACCAATCTATAGGGGGTGTCAATATATTTTACCCTATATTGAAACCAACTTATATTTTTGTACCAATTTCTTGTCGAACGAGTCGGTCCTGTTAAGAATAATTTAAAATCCTCAAAATTGTTAGATTCCCTTTTTTTTTTTTCCAAGGCTAAAAAAGTCAACAAATATGGGCAGTACCAAATAAACATTAGTCAAAACTGATAACCAATTGAGACTAATCCGACTAATTGATCCAACACTTGAACTAGTTAATCATTAATTTGGTCCCTCTATCCGGTGAAATTCTGATAACTATGGGCTAACCCCTCTAGTTGTACCTTAAGGTGAGGTGTTCGAATCCTCCCCCCTCCCTTGTTACAACCAAAAAAATGATCATGGGGCTAGACCAAATCGATCTTGCCAGCCAATTTCTTCTTCAATTGATTATTAGATGTTCAAAATTCTAGAAAAATTCGATTGAAATTAGATGATAACACATCTCATATAATAGAGAAATCCGTTATACAGTGAGTACATCTATTAGGATATCCTGATTATCAATTGTATCAATTGAAGCCCAAAAGTACACTGAAGTGAATTCCAAGAAATACATATATTTATAACTTTAACGACCTTATTTGCAAGACTCGTTGCAAAAGTATATAGGCACCAAGTACAAAGAACATTTGATTGCTACGGTTCTTCGTTTAAAAAGAAACCTATATAGAGCCTCTCAAACCATAATAAAAAGCAGAGACAGTATTTATATGACATTTATAAGGTACAACAACATAAGAGTCTGTAAATTGGGTTACAAAGCAACAACTCTTCACGATCAGCTTACTAGGAGGATCCATGATTTTGGTTGTCAAAGTCAACCAAGGGTTGTGATGAGGAAGGAAGAGCTTTCAGATTCTTCTTGTTGATCTCAGAGATCAGAACAATGGCTTTAGGTTGTTTAGACTCATCGATTTCATCGATTTTTCGGGTCCTCACCGGAACAACTTGCTGGCGGCTGCTGCCGTCTCTAGTGACTGACTGTTGAGAAGGAACAAAGAAATCAGTTGGGAAGAATTTGTACTGAAGGCCAGCCATGGAAGCTCTGCAACTGAATATAGAAGTAAAAACAGTTGACAAGTGCTCTTGCTGAAAGTAGGAGAGCTAGACAAAGTAAATTGTCTCAAAATGGTTGCAAGCCTCTTGCTTTAGGTTGTCTTTGTGCAATGGTTTTTCATGTATATATAGAGCCAGAAAGAGACCGAAAAGTCACGAGTCACTGGTCATGAATTGGGGTTTTGAGCAAGGTAGGATTCAACTAACAAACTTATAGGAGGGATCTTGATTCCCAGCATATTCTCTCTCTCTCTCTCCAACACCCCCGCACACACACAAACGCCACCGTGACATCAATTGACAAGCTTCGTGGTTGACATAGATGACATACATTTCGTTGGTAGTTAAAGGTTTATTTACACTTTTTACCTATAAAGTATCATTTTGAGTCCATCTTTGGTTTGTAAACTTTTTCTGGTACCAATTTCGTCCTCCAATTTTTGGCAAAGCATTAATTAGGTTCAATCAATTACTCTCGTTCATTTTTTTTTTTTTTGGTTTAACAGAGGAAGACATATGTATTGATTCATTTTTTAATGGGTAGATACAACTGTGACTTAATTTGAATACGACTTCAAATGAATCAAATAGGAAATCATACTCTTCCAAAAGAAAAAAAGGGAAAAGATCTTCTAAATCAATAACTTCTTTTGTCTGTTCTCACTCACCAAAGCGTACTTTGTTTCTCGGAACCAGCGGCTTCTTCTTTCTTTCTTCTAATCCTTCTAATTGGTAAGAAAGTGATTTTTCCTTTAGGTTTACTTATATTTTTTCTCTTACTATTTTTGCCTAGTATAACGACATATCCAACTAATTAAAACCACTTAAAAAGTTTAAGGATTAAATTTACACAAACTCTTTGGGACCAAAGTGAGAATTGGCATAAATGATGAAGGTTAAAAGTATGATTAGCCCTTTGTAAATTTGAGAAACTACTTTGCATTCATGCGCATGTTATCTTACGTGATTTTCTCTGTCCTATTTTGTTGTTTGTTTTGCCGTAATTAGGCAGTGATTGAGACTGGAAATTTAATACTGAGTCCTAAACTCAATTTGATACCTTTTCTTGAATGCAAAAAGATGTCTTTTCGAAATTTCATGGGTTTGACTTTATTTATTTATTTAATTAGTCTGTATGAAATATAATATTTTCGTATTAAATTTTACTGTGATGGTTCAATTAATAGTTCTATTGTCATCAATGTTTGTGTTTTCTTGAGGAACAGCTCAAGGTTCAATAATACCCAGTTATGCATACATTTAATAATAGAAGGAAATCGTTTTGAAGTTATCGGATATATATTTAAGTAATCAATTTGAATTACACGGAATTGATCAATTAGAATCATTAAATAGATCGATATGAACTCGTTGAGACTTGTACACGATGCTAAAAGACAATAAATCACTCACACAGGGTTTGGAATGGAGCAATTTTTGACATGAAAATGATAGAAAAAGAATGAGATTGGATATGGCACAATCTGTTTTGGGCCAAGTCAATCAAAGTGAAGTGGGCTTGTATAGTCTGAAAAATAGAAAGGCCAAAACCAATAAAAGGCCCAAACGAAATGGACTCATTTATGAGAATAATCATGCAAGCTTACTTATTTGGGCCCTATTGTGAATAGCTGATCTATGAATAAACCTCAAAATTTGCATGAAATCATGAAATTCACTTAGATTCAAATGAGTTTTTTTAACGTAATTTAGTTTAATTAAGTCTAAAATTTTATACTGACTTCTAAATTTTTCTTTTAAAAAATATATTGCTGTTTGATAAATATGTTTAAAAGTGCCGATAAATAAGTTTTAAATCTATTGTATTATGGTAAATAACACAACCTTTGACGTACCCATAAACTTATTTTTCTGAAAATATCTTTTTTCAAGGGACCATCATAAAATTGCAGTGCAATGCACTAATTAAACTCACTATTTTTTTTTTCTAAATATCATCAAGTTCTACTGAACTAGTATTGAAAATAATAGTCTCCATATCCGTAAACAATTTCAAAAATTCCTATGTTCTATTACTATTCGTTTAGAGGGTTGAATAATCCTCCTCCTTCGCTATACATTATTGTCTTACGAAAAACTAAAACCATTTTGAAAATATAACATCTCTGCTTTCTTTGTTGTTGATGATGGTAAGATTTTGACTTCGGCTGTTTATCCAAAACCTAGAGCATCTAATGGGCTCCCTGGTTACATGACAGCCCATCCGTAGCTTGCCCACCCTATAATAAGAATGGGTCACAACCCAAAGAAGAGAGTCCACCAACGCTCAGATAGATATGTTCTTGTTCGGCCACATCAAACTCGGTGGAAAATCAATCGAAGAACAAGGAGCTCGGTATTCAATAGACCTCAAACATCTCTTGTCGCGCCACGTGTCCAAGGGACAGAGGGACAACTTCTAGAGTCCCTAATGAACATGTACTCCTGATAAAGAGAATTTTTGTACACATTTCATTTAATGATCATGGGCACAATTTGTGTTAGGAGGGAAAAGGGGACCACATAATCAACCAAGGGAATGAACAAATCGCAAGAAACCTTAGATAATTACTTGTATAAATAGAACACGATACACTATATTAGAAGAGTTTTAGAAAGTTGTATTCGCAAGACACTGTATACAAACGCTCTAATCCAGGAAACTCATTGTAATCTTCTTCTTTAAGCAATATAAACCCCAAAGAACAAGAGTCTTCGTTAGTGAACTACTTATATCCTGTTTTTGGTACAATTTTATCTCTTACTTCTTTATTAACCTAAATATTCACATCACCTCCCACCGAGTTTCATAATTTTTGTTCTACAGTTGGGCTAAATAATTTCGAGCAACTTCGGTTACGATGAAAATAATTTCACTATCTTTTGTATGCAAAACCTTGTACAAGATTTCTATATAAAGTCAACCGCAAACAAAAAGACTAGAATGACAGAAAAAAAAGAAGCATTAAAAGTAAAAAACAGTTACAAATTTAACAAAAGCCACTCAAGATGTCTCTCAGAGATTTTCTTGTTCTCGAATTACCACTCCACAAGAAAGGTGAAGCGGCATTTGTTTTAAGCTCTCGACATGAACTTTCTCATGACACCCACCTCGATTCTGTTTGTGGACAACAACCAGACTCGTTGGCATGGAAAACGAAGCTTTTCTAAGCTTATTGCCGTTCATGGGCTTCTCCGAATCGTTGTCCACGTTTTGATTTTGACTTTGTACCAGAAGAACTTGCTGATGATTTCTGATCGCTTGTGGCTTAGGGTAATAAAAATCAGTGGGAAAGAAATAGTACTGAAGACCAGCCATGAAGAAGAGGTTAGCAAACCAAGGTTTGGAAGTACTGCAAGTATTGTGAATATTTTTTTTTTCTGGTTAGGTCTGTGTCTTTGTTGTGGGTATATCTATATACAGAGACAGAGACAAGAAAAAGTAGAAATAACCATGGAGTTTTGGCTTGGGCATCAAGCTATTGCTGACATTGGCGGTTACGGTTTGTATTGCCTCAACGCGTTTTCTTTGTAACTCCTTCGCAAAATAGGAATAGAGCGTTTATACTTTATGGTATTGTTTTTTTTTTTTTTCTGGAACATTGGTTGCCTCACGAGTCAACCTCGAAACCTTTTTAGAAACCTTTTAATATCTATCTTTGTTTCTAAATAACTTTTTCTTTTATTTCTATATATTTTTTTTAACTCAAAAAAGCACCTCTAGTTTTTGGTAAAAAAAGAACTAGAGGTAGTTGTCGTATATTAGTTTTTTTTTTTTTTGTGCGTCTCTTAAACCCTTTTTTCATGTGTATAATAGTGTATACATCTACATATATTAGAGTATTATTATTTTTTTTTATGAACACGCATAAGGAAATACACATATATTTAGAATATACTTTATCCAACATCGGTAAGTAGAGGTGTGCTTATATCACTCGGGCTCGTGAGTCCAAATAGAATTAATAACAAACCTTAAGTGCATGAATCGGTCTTTCAACGCATATATTAGTTAAATTTGATCTTACACTTTGGTTGGAATTCGAACCTACGCTAGATACTTGGATACAGTTAGTCCAAGTATCTACGATCTGTCTTACCAACCAAGCACACTTTTTGTCATTCAAGAGATTTGAATTCTTGACCTCAAGAAACAACAAAGATTTCTCCGTTTCAAAAAAAAAAACATAATACTGTTTAAATTCATATTAAACTATTAAAGTATGATTTATGTCTTCAAATTCATATTAATTACTAATAAACAATGTTGTGACAAATAAACATGTTACCAAACAGTATCTTATTTGTAAAAGATCTTTACAATGGTAGTAGTGAGAAACCTTGACCATGTTGGATTATGTGCATGAAATTGATCACATTTTTCCACATTTATTCGCCAACCAGGATAGCTGCAATGGTACTTCAAAAACTCAAGTTCGGGTCTTCTAAGAGACGTCATGGTTGAACCTATGTACGTGATTTGCAGGAATTTTTGCTCATCCGAATGACAGCATTCGACAATTCTCTGTTGTAAAATAATTGATATTGGCATGCAATCTGGAATACTAGATAAATAAAGGTGGAGAGGCTGCAAACAAGTCATGGTGGGCTCACTGGAACCCTAAAAAACTCACAATTCCACTTTCATATTTGCTATAGTTTGATCAACACAAAAGCTAATACAAGATTCTCATTATAAAATCTGCGGTACGCACAAATACTAGAGAGAAAAATTCATAATCAATTTAAAAAAAAAAAAAAACATCTACACATGTTGCAAGTTACAAGAGCTATTCAAGATGTCTTTGACAGTTGTTCTTGTTCTTGAATCCCCACTCCACAAGAAAGATGAGGCGGCATTAGCTTTAAACTCTTGTCATGGACCCCCTCATGATACACACCTTGCTTTTGCTTGTGAACTGCAATCAAACTTGTTGGCAAGGAAACAAAAGCTTTTCTAACCTTCTTGTCTTCCATTGGCTTCTCTGAATTGTCGTCTAGGTTTTGATTTTGATGTTGGAGAGGAAGAACTTGTTGATGATTTCTATCTCCATTGACCGCTTGTGGTTTAGGGTAATAGAAATCAGTGGGAAAGAAATAGTACTGAAGACCAGCCATGAAGATGTTAGAAACCAAAGTTTGGAAATACTATGAGTATTGTGAATGTTTTTTTTTTTTTTCCGGGTTAAGTCTGCGTCTTTATTATGGGTGTGTATATAGAGACTAGAGAGAGAGGAAGAAGTAGAAGAAAACATGGAGTTTTGACTTGGGCTTCAAGCTATTGTTAAGAATATAGAAAGACTTCAATTTGTTTGGCGGATACGGTATAACATTAGTGATTCGAACGCGTTTTCTTGCTACTGCTTCACAGATTAGGAATTGAAGCTTCTCATTTGTCTTATTTTATAAGGTTAATAACACTTGTATTCCCTAAAATATATATTTTTTATCAGTTTAATCTCTATTATATTAATTTTATTAGTTTGATCCCTAAAGTAATCAATTCATGTCATTTTGATTTTTACATAGACGGATCATTAAGTTTTTTGATAAAATAATCACGTATTAAGCATGTTATATAGTCTAAAAAAATGACACGTAGCCACTTCCTTAAAAAAAATTGACAAATTGTCTAATTAGAGACTAACATAACACAAATTAAATATTTTAGGAATTAAATTGATAAAAAAATATATTTTAAAAATTAAAAATTCTATTAACCCTACTTTATAATATTATGCCTTTTTCTAGAACATTGGTTGCCCAATGAGTGAGAGGTGACCCATTTACCAAGAAAATATTTTTAATTGTAACATGGTAAAATCACGTGACAACAATCAAAATTATAATTTCAAATAACTTTTATTCTTTTCAATTTTCAAAAAAAAAATCATGATGATCATTTCTCTACGTCAACTCAAAAATGATACAATATATCAACACGAATAATAGATACAACTGTACACGACACAATTATCATCCCTAGTCGCATGGAAATAAAAGTGAACATCAAGCCAAGAGGTGCGATTACATTAGGACTAATGCATCAGATTCCATTAGAACTTTACAATTAAGTTTGTTTGGGTGAGAATAGTACTCCGATGGAGGACCTTGACTAATCCTTGTGCTGCATTCTTTTTTTCAAAAAAAATATAAAAAAATCAGGCCAAGAAACAGGCACGTAAAAAAAAATGAAAGAAAATCGGTAGCATAGTCTCACCAAAATAGTTCCTCTTCCATATTGATGAACTTAATTTGCACAAGCCTTTCCAAGAAAATACAAAAAATAAGAGAAAAAAAAAAGGAGCAAAATGACTAAAATAAATTCCATCCCACGGCATAAAATTGAAAAGAAAGAACAGCTTTATCTACACATCACTTCCAAAATTGTTGTTAAGCAAGAAAGGTGAAGGGGCTTTATCTACCCATCTTGATTTTGCTTGTAAATGGGTGCCAAGGCCAGTGATGATGAGGAAGGAAAAGCTTTCAGAATCTTCTTGGTAGTCTCATGGTGAACCAAGGATATGGCGCGTTTGGCATCATCAATTTCCTCTCCTTTTAGGTTTTTGACAGGAAGAACCACCTGTTGTTGGCTTGTGTTGTCTCTGTTGGTTGACTGTTTAGGAGGAAAGAAGAAATCAGTGGGGAAAAATTTGTATTGAAGGCCAGCCATGGAAGAAGCTCTAACTGGGTATCAAAACTCAAAAAGATGGCTTAGAGTACGAGATTCTTGCAGATAACAATAAATTTATATACTCTTTAAGTTTTTAAATCACAACGGAACAACTTCATCAATCGCCAAGCCTCACCCTCAAGTGTTGTGTTTGTCACTTATTTATGGTCTGCAGAAAGAGAAAAGACTCTGATTGCTTTTGGTTTCGTCGTGATTCCCAAGAATATTGGGGCATTTTGCCTTCCTACTTTATGACAAAAAATGGGGAGTTTCATGCTTGATATAAACAATAAAAACGTGCTTCATTGCTGTTGAGCCTTATTATTTTTAAGTGTTTGCGTGGTCTGGATTGACCGAGAGGCATTTTTTTCTTTTTTCTTTTTTTGAACGGTGAGAAACACATGATTGTTACAATGCACGTTTTAATCATTTTTTAAAATTTATTTTCTCTACCTAAGCGGGTTGGTGGAGCGTCTGCGTATCACATGACTTACATATTAGCAAAATAGTAATTTTATTTTTATCAAATTTTTTATTTCAAAAGATGTGACATAATCTCTATTATTAAATATTAATAGAATTCATTTATTTAATGGTAAAAACTGTATCACATCACTTGTAATGAAAAACCTTGACTCACCTGCAGATTCCCCATCGATCCAAACCCAGTGCTAGTAATATCAATTAGGTCTCAGAGAGAGAGAGAGAGATTGACCCAATTGTAGTTGATTTTAATGAATGGAGCTGAATGGTTGGGGGGCATCAAATTATTTGTGACAAAAGAGCGTAATCGACACACTGGTCGCTGCCTTCATCTGTGACTCCGTCAGTTGAGATTGACGTACTAATTCCTGATTTGGTTGTGATCATTTTGGTTTAGTTTTTGCTTGGGAAAGTTGTGTGGTTCATTCCCAACTGCCTGTGAAAGAGAGGCAAATAGTTATATATATATGTGCACTTGCCATAGAGGTTGGGGCAGTTGGGGTTTTGGGTATTGTATGATGCAAGCCCCAATTGGGTACTCTCCACCACTACTATTGATTTGTTGTGCGTTGTGGGGTTTTGGGGCAAGGTGGGGGAGAGGGGAACTGGTGACGGGGGTAGCGGGTAGCAGTTTAGGTTGTGTGGGTGAGGGATGGAGCGGTGGGCAGCGGTGTTTTCTTTTTACTTTTTTGGAGTGGGAGTGTGGGTGAAATGGGGGAGAGTTTATTTTTGAAATAAAATTGTCATATTTGGGCTTGAAACGAAAAGATTAAAAAATTACTAGATTTTTGTAAGATTAATAAAATAAGGGTAATATGAGAATTTCATATAAAATATTTGTTGATGTTATTCAATTTTAAAGATATGTTCAACAGATGTTAGTAAGAGGGGTAATATGTGTTACATGTATATAAAATTGGAGGGATCTAGATGTTATTTGTCAAAGGTGAGCTGTCTAGATGATTAAAGAATAAATCTCAAGAAACGTGAATCTAATTTACCCAACAAAAAAATTATGAAAAGCTTGGGCATTCATCCTCCCTCAATGACCTAAGCATGGGTCTTCATCCCACTAGTTGTTGAGGCGTTTAAGGCCCTGAGTTTTCTAACCGTTGCCTTCAATGGTAGCCAGCAGGCCGGCCCAGCCCACATAAGGCAAACATCTCCACTCTTGTAAACACAACCTACACTCATCCATGTCACCTTTTTAGAGATACACTCTCCTCTTCTTATCACATATGCCACTGCTTCAATAGAATTCTTAGTGCCATATTTGATCAACTATATATGATGTGTACCACACCATCACCAAAATTGCTAAAAAAAACTCTGAAATGTTCTAGAAGCTGAATGTCAGTCGGATATGAAATTCAATTATTTCAAAAACTCTGGAAGAAAGTTGAAAAAAATGAGAAGGTATTTAGTAAAGACTTCACCATTTCAAGTCTTATATCATGGTCCGATTTTGCCAAGTGCATCAACAAGGAGAATTGATCTTAACCCCCGTTTTCATTCATATAATTAATGGAAATAAACATACGTAACAACAATAAGAAGCATAGAGTATTTTTGGGATGGAAGTTAGCAATTAGATCATTTAAAACTATACCACAAAAAATTCAAAGGCTAAATTCACGTAATAATAAGCAGTGACATCAAAGAACTGTGTATACTTCAAGCATTACATTTATCGGTTTATTTAACAGAAATTTTGTATTGTCTGTCACCCATCTTTGTTGCATTTTACTCTGTCTTCAATTTGCAACATTGGGATAAACTGAGCGATGGATACTTCTAAGTTGCTGTCAATGAATCAGATTTTATTCCGAATGTGATTCAAACACAAATTTAATTAAATAGATATGAATTGAATTTTTTAATTATAATTAAAATTAAATTCATTATATAATATTTAATGAATTAGAATTGAAATATACCTATATTCGACCCGATTATAATTCAATTTAAATAATAAATTTATATTGGGTACTTTTTAGACTACAAGGATGGTTGATTATTGAAGTTACAAGATTCACTTTAATTAATGATTAATTTATTATTATCTTTTAAAAAATTATTAATTTATTATTAAATAGTAGTATTATGTTAATTTTTTTGATCGTTAAAAGATCACTATTTGGATAAAGCGGGTCGAGAATAACCCACCCTTTTGAAATTGTAAGATGCAAATCTGGAAGTTTCCACAGGGGTTCAGGAAGAAGTAAGAACCTCCTAGAATTTTCCACCTTCTCTCTCTTTCCAGAAACCTCCATTTCTTTCCTTCACATCCACCTATAAATCACCCACAGCTGTTCAACAATCCTTCTCAGAACACCATCAAAAGCCCAAAAGAAACCATTTCATCCAAGAAATCAAACCAAACCCATTCCCAGGTCACTCCCCAAACCAAGAAGATCCAGAAAAAATGGATATCAGGCTAATGGGTCTCGACAACCCACTCTTCCACGCCCTCCAACAGGTGATCGACGCCGCCGATGGCGAAGCCGGCAACGACAAGTCCAATGCCCCCACAAGCACCTACGTTCGTGACGCCAAAGCAATGGCGGCAACGCCGGCCGACGTGTTGGAGTACCCCAACGCCTACGCATTCATCATTGACATGCCAGGGTTGAAAAGCGGTGACATCAAGGTTCAGGTGGAGGACGACAATGTGTTGGTGATCAGTGGAGAGAGAAAGAGGGAGGAGGAGAAAGAAAGTGCTAAGTTTATGAGGATGGAGAGGAGGGTTGGGAAATTCATGAGGAAGTTTGTGTTGCCTGAGAATGCTAAGATTGATGGCATCTCTGCGATTTGTAAAGATGGAGTGTTAACTGTTACTGTTGATAAGTTGCCTCCTCCGAAGCCAAAGAAGCCCAGGACCATTGAGGTCAAGATTGCTTGAGGTTCTTTATTTCTTGGTTGCTACTCTGTTATGCGTGACTAGCGCTGTGTGGTGTTTTAAGTTTAATATTTTATGGGTCTAATTTCTGTTTTTTTGAATTGTGCTTTAAGATCACTGGTGTGAAAGTAGATAAGTAATAATTGTTATGAATGAAATATATGAATTATGTTTTATGAATTTATAATTATTTTTTTTTTCGCCTCTTTCTCCTTTTTGTGGGTTTTGTTATTATTTCTTATGGGAGTTTTAGGGTATTTTTTTTAGAAAATCTGAACGAAACTATTTTGTCCCTTCATTGTTTCTAAGAACAGAGTAAAGAGCATTATTGAAAATTTAAATGAGCAATTTGACTTCACGCAGGATTTTGGCATTGTATGTTAAGTTTTGAGCTTTTACCCCAATTCATGGGGTTTTACAAAAATATATTCAAAAGAGATTATTTTCAAATTATTTTTTAAATTCCTGTAATTTTAAAAATGTCACTCGAATTGATGTCGTTTAATTGACGTTTTTATGTAAAAGTGTTATTACAACTAACATTTTTAAAATAATTTTATTTATTTAAAAAGTCACATTAAATGGTGGTTGGACCATCGTCTTCTTAAAAACGTTAGTTGAATTAATATTTTATGCCTTCTACATGAGTAAGATAGCACACACATTGTTGCTCATATATCTGTAAAAGGTAAAAATTAAGAATACCTCTCATTAAAGATTTAAATTTGATATTACTGATTATGAATATTTCTAAACTTGATCTCTTAGTCTTTGTTTTCTGCAAAATAAACAAACTGTTTAAGATCGAAGTGTTTTGATCAAAGATATTTTGATGTTTAAGTTAGTAATGGAACTAAGACAATTACAAGAAGACAAGGAGAGTTTTGTGTACCTTTCACCTTGACTCCTTTTGGCTTTTATAGACCCTATTCAGTTAAGGTTTTCACGAATTTTGATTCAAGGTGGTACACTTTCCTCAAATTAGGCGCCTCTAGTTGGGAAGTTGCTGAAAACCTATAATTTCGTCGATTCATTTAGCCAGACTGTCTGTCTGAATTGTAGGTATCTTTTTAGCACCACATTACTGTTTTAAACAGTTTGATCGTAACAAGGACCGAGCTCATTCCTTCCTTTCCGAGCTTTCTGATCAGTTCGGTTATTATTTGATGACAACTTGGTCAGATCTCATCCTCTGCTTGGCCTGGACAACCTAGCTGTCTATTCAGTCGAAGTTTATTAGCTACTAGGTTGGACCTATTTTAGCTCGACCTGGATGGCCTAGTTACTTGTTCTGCTTGGGCGGATAACTTAGCTACTTGCTCTGCTCGGTCCGGATGACCTAGCTATTTGCTCTGCTCGGCAAATGCAACTTGTCACCCGTCCAAGTCTAATTGTCAGATAATGGTCAGAATTTATCGACCCCTTCATTTGTCCCCAGAGAATATTTTTCATGTGGCACACTGGAAGATATTCTCTGTTTACGATCCTCTCTCATCAATTACCTTGTATCATTTGTTATGAAAAGATGTTTTTTTGTGTCCTTTTCCCGTAGCAAAGAGGTGTTATTTCAATGAAGGGTTTGAGAATTCAATACTTAAAAATTTCAATCATGGTCTCTTTCCCCTAGCCAAGAGGACCTGCCTCTTTGAAGGGTTCGAACTTTAATTCTTGGTCACTTATTGTGACCCTTGCACCAATCCGCCGCTCTAATCGGTCTTCAAACTTTACCCGTTTGGCTTACACCATCGTGCCTAGCCGTGAGCGTAAATTTGATCGAATGGCTGCACCTGAGCTAGGTTCCTGCCTCTATCAAGAATTTTTTCCTCCCCCCCTTAGCAGTAGGTTATCTTATGCCCAAGTCTTCTCGAGTACTTCATGTGGCAAATACTCCACAAAGATTAGCTCTAAGACTCAATCTTATTTACTCGTGGGAGGTACTCCACTGTTAGACATTTTTCCTGTGGTAGGTACTCCACAAAAATATTAATTTTGAAGCTCAATCTTTTTCATTCGTGGGAGATACTCAGCTGTTAAGCATCTCTCCTATGGTAGGTACTCCACAAAAATATTAGCTTTGAAGCTCAATCTTGTCTACATATGGGAGGTACTCCTCTAAAGTGATATAACATCAGCCCTCCTAGCTCAAGAGCATAGACATATCATTTATAAAAGGACGTCGATTCTTATTTTAGCTTGTAGTTTGTATCAATTAATGTATTGACTTGAGGGAAGGTGAGCTCAATACGTCCCACATCTTCCTCGACCTTGGCCTACTATATTGTGGAGGCACATGCAAGTCTGGCTTTTCAATGCCTAGCTGTGATTGATGAAGCACCATGGATTTTGTTACTATTTTGGATCTTTTCCTTTCGTCAAGGAATTTTCAAGCTGCCTCCCAGGGCTCATTTTGGATCTACACGTGCTCTGTATATAATCTTCCATTGCATGGTTTGAACTTTGGTTAGAGCAAGAAATAATCTGTGAATGTTGGTTTTGCTTGGCCCATATTCAATGCTTCATCATGTGATTTGGAACGTGTAGTGGCTGCACTGTTCCTTGCGAATGCTGATTGTGGCATTCTGATCATGATGATGCAAACTCCTTTGTTTGATTTGTGTTTATGATGTCCACTGTTAATGGCGATAACACTATGTTGTTGATCTTCTGCTGCAATTGCTAAAGTAACTTGGATTGCCTAAATCCCACTGAAGTTCTCACTTGCTTTGCTTTGTCTAAGATGGTTTCCGATATCAACGGATAAGTTATGTTATGGCTGGTCACTGCAATTCAAGAAAAGTTCTTCCCAAGCATAGATCACATTCAATTAAGAACAATGATGATTTTCTGTGGGTGACAGATATTGTCCCATAAGAAACTACAATGTATCATCATGCATGATTGAAGGAATCGTGAGCATAACTTGTAGCAGAGTCATTCTTGTGCTTGTATGGTGGGGCTTTGCAAACATGTATTGGGAGTAAAGTCCTCATAAAAGTATCAAATTACGTCTAGAATGTTGAATTTGCCATCCGATTGAGCATGAATATTTGTCCAAGGTGCAAGTCCAATGGGTCTAGATAATTAATACCTATTTCTTTCTTGCTTCCCTCTCAAAGTATATTGAATAACATTTAAGCACCATATCCATCGAGACATTTTACTCACGTGAGGCATGGATGAAGAAGACCTCTTGTATGCTAAACATTCGTTCATGAATAGCAAATAGTAGTAAATAATTTATTTTTCTCTGGAATAGTTATTCAACAAGGTAAATGACCTTGCCCATTAGGCTTCCATGATGCATGTAATATCTAAATTCTTGGTTTTCCCAAGTTAGAGAGTCGATTTTCATATGTGTAGGTGTTGTCCATTAGGAATCAAGTGGTACAATTTGATTCTTCTTATTCTATATTTTAGCCCCTTTAAGCTAAAATATTTTTTAGTCATTGACCTCTTAAACTAGACATCTTGGATATCTCTCTATTCTGATCTTACATAATAATCAAATGTAATTTTTCATAAATACATCCCTCTAGTGAAATTCTTATTTCCTAGGCATGTTTCATAATGTGGTTTGCATAGGATTTGCCTTGAGGAGGCACATGGATTGACCAAACCAATGTTTTCTAAGCATTCTTTATGTTGTAGTAGTCACGGTGGCCTAAGGAAAAACTTTGGGGCTCTTGGATCCATGAGATAATTTATTCAAAAATGCTGAATGATCACACAAGAAGCGATCTCCAAAGATTTGTACTAGTGTGAAAGACAATCCACCTGATGAGGCTAGATCTCACTCCAATATTCACCGAGCATAGTGACACACTACACCCAAGACCTATACTTTTGTCTTTCTACGCGAAGATTATCGTAATCTTTCCAGAAAAAGTTGGTGACAACTACTATTTAGATAATGTGTAGCTAAATTCTTGGACCGTGCTAATTTTCTTAAAGGCTTAATCTCTACTCGTGTAGGTCTTTCCAATTTGAAATTGAGTGGTACACTCTAATTTGTCTCGAATGCATATCATTTAATTCATATTTGTTGTCCTTTCAAGTCGAACATCAAGCAACTAACCCTTGAATAGTTTCCAATCATCTTGATAATTGAATTTGCATAGAAATATCAAGCGTCGTAGAAATAGCTTCTTTTCTTTGATATTGAACCCGAGTCAATATAAATAGCTTTTCCTTTTACAATAAAATGCCATAAACAAGTGTATGTCAAGAGAGTGAAGAATCTTTGGACTTCTATGATCTATCTACATAAACTTAGTAATACAAACCCCTTAAGTATATGGCGGAGAGCATAATTCCTAACCAACCATAATAACACATGATTTGTTTCATTTCTTTTAATTCACTGGCCAAGTGCCCCATTGCTATTGTTTCATGTTTCATCCAATATACAACTAGTGATGACATGTATGGGAAGGTTGATGTGAGTATCTTTGTAATAATTCTTTATATTCGCTCTACAACGTATGAAATAATTCTACTTTGTTTCATAAAGTTCAAAGATGATCAAACATTTAACCCAAGAAGAGAATATGTCTTATCATTAAATGACCGCTACTAATGGGCATAAGGGCACTTTGATAACATACCTAGGTTGTGGTTGGTCCCACTATTTTCAACATGTCTCTCGTAGAGTCACTTATGACTAAACAACTATATGCTTGTATTCAATGTCACGCTGAAGGTGTAATATCATATTCAAAGAAATTGACATTATAGACTCGGACATCGATGGCTTCTTTATGATCTCTGTGTGAGTAAAATATATGTTAACATTTTTTTATTCGAGAGATAATTAGTCAATTTTTCCTATGGGTCCACACACCAATCAGGAACACAATACATTAACTAAATAATGGTCGGACCGATTGGGTGTATAGGGATAAGTTATACAACCATGTTTTTCCTGATTGATAAAATTCCAAGATGGATAATCATTGTTAGGAATCATCCTTCTTTAAGTCCATATCCAGTGTACACTACTCTGAAAACGCTAACCCAATATATAATAAGCAACAAAAATTATTTAAAAGAAGGAACAAAGTTACCCGATTGATGATTCCTCCAGATGAGAAAAAATGTGTGAGAATATGCCAATGAGATCATGTGCAGTTGGATTCTTAGAGAGTTTATCTCTAATCATGTAGGCCTTGCCTACCGCGAATTAAGTGGTACACTTTGATTCATTTCAGATTCATATCATTCAATTCTCGCTAGTTGACCTCTATGGGCGAATTTCTCATCACTTGGTGTTGATTGCATGTGACCCAAATAAAGGGTATGTGGTTTCCTCTTCAATTGACGTGTTGGACTAATATTACTCCTTGCTCCACAAGCCAGTCTATTAGGCCAACAACCAGCATGCATGGTGGCACACTATTGTTGGGGACGAATTGCCTCTTTTTTTTTCTATTCATACT